AGGCCCCCGAATGCGGAACATATAATGCGGCCCTGCGCGAGCGTCTCCATAGCCGACTCCAAAAGTTAGCGTGCAGTAGTACAAGACTTACGCAAGGTTCCCATCCAGGAGCATCTTGCCAAACTCCCAGGAACCAAGGAACGAGAAAAGGGATTTCTTGTTCGAGACATCTAGGAGACGGCTGACATAGCCACTGAGCGACATCTATCCAAGCTGAACTTCACTTCCTTATCTCAGTTCTGCACTTAGTCGGTGGATTGATGCCCAGAGTCAAGGATGCCGGGGGTCCCTAACCCGTCCACTCCTTGGGCAGCGCCTCAGGTATACTGGCTTAGAGATTACGCCTGCTAGACGGCATAGAGGTTACAGCCTTTCGCCGGACAAAATCGGAAGGCGATGCAGTACCGTACAACAACCAGGGCTGTTTCAAGTCAGCATGGAATGCAGAAGCTGTACAAAGTTTACCGCAGCTAAACAAGCCAGTTTCAAAGAAGGGGGTCCTTGTGAAGCAGCTGCCCGCGTTTCCAAAGCACGTATGGGGATGTGGAAGGTGCCGAAGTACGTTCGCGAGAAAGAGAATGGGGCCAGGCTGGAGAGGAAAGTGCAGTGGCATATTGGAATGTGAGATTAGTGTAAGCGAGTTACAGGGCGTTTGGCGCACGGCGGAATGTACATGCAGTCTTGTCGTCGCGCGCGTATATACACGTCGCGTCGGTCCTCTGCTATGTTGTAGTAACGAAGAATAAGGCATAGGTACAAGTCGTCGCGCTTGGACGGACATGCCAGAACAGGCAACATGATGGGTGAACTCGCACGCTACCAAGCATGCACCCGAGCACGCGACGAGCCGACCTAGAAAGGAGCAGCGCCCCCCCTCCCCAACGCTGACGCAATAGACCATCCCAAGCGCTGGTGTCCGTATGGGCACCAGCTGAGTTCACACACGAGTCATTGTCGGACATGTATGCAACGTGAAGTGCGATCGTGCCCAAATACAACAGCCACTGCGCAATGTCCAGAAGGCTAGCGCTGAAATCGTCGGACACCATCCGTCAAATCCCCAGTTGCTGTGTCGGCTTGGCAAGCGTGGCTCGGGCGTCGTCGTCTTGGACTGTCACGGCGGGCGGCATGTGGGTGCTGCCGGCCCGTTGTCGGCTCATCACGTAGAAGGCCAGGCTGGCGGAAGGCGGCCCATGCAGCACATTGTAGCCGTCCGGCCCCCGGCTCTTGAACTGCGCGATGTAGAGGGCCTCCATCTTTTCGGCCAGTGCAGGATTGGCGGTGGACATGAGGCGTGTCAGGGTGAAGTGGTATCGGAAGGGTTGGTAGCGGCGGGCGTCATCCTTCATCCGGGTGGGTGGGTTGCTGGCATGAGCTTGGAAGCACCGGTGAGGATCCTTGGATTGGCCTTGGATGATCCGCGGAGTGTCACGGGCTATGCTGCAGTTGGTGGAAGTACGGTTAGGGCTGTTCTGAAGGCACTGCTGACACCTACATCCAAGTCAATGCGCATCATCCTGGAAACGGGGCTCACTGCTGATGTGCTGCTATGCAGGCCAACTCCTGGTGCCGGTATATGCTCACAGCGACA